ATATATATATTGTGGAAGATAAGTTTCATTAATTAGGTAAAACTATTCACGAATAATATTCTTTAAAAAATATCGAAGACTATTATATGTAAAGTATACCGTATGGTGGCCGACTAGGCCGAATACCCGAGCCCGCGAGTGATTAGGCCGAGTACCCGAACCCGTGAATAATTAGACCGAATACCCGAACCCTTAACGGTTACGCCGATCACCCTAGTCCACCGACCACTTATAAGCGAGTGAAACGTGTCGGGTTGGTCGGTCAATCTCTGTGCCTTTGCCAGGCCGATTACAGATAGTTTAATTAGCGTAATACATTGGATTAGCCCCCTAATTTTTCGGGGCCCAATCCTTAATCACGGCCCAACACCAGCGTCTATAAATAGAGCCCCAACGAGGTATGTAATTGATATTTGAACTACCGCATTTATTACGCCGAGAACTAACTTGAGCGTCGGAGTGTCTTTGCAGGCACCCCCAACCTCGCTTCGGACTACTCGGACAAGAACGAGAAGACCGTAACCCTACACCTGACTCGAGACGACCAAGATAATTGAAGTGTGTATCCTAACTCAGGAACATAAAGAAAACTCAGACTTAAAACTATTAATTAAAGTGTTAATTTAAAAATTATGAGGATAATAATATATATTAATATCAATCACACAATAAATGTGTTACGCATGCAAACCAATAAATGTCATTTTACTAGTGGAAAGTGGTATGCCACATACAAGTATACAAGTAAAGCCAAATTAGTGGTTCTTTGAATAGGGTTTTCTTTTCCTTTATTATCGGATGTCCCCGAAGGGACAATAGGATTTTCTTTTGATACCATTGATTACTTGATTGGGAAAACTCTAATATTATATAATCACACCGTGGGTTCTTTAACACTTTTTTTATTTATTATTATTTTAATTATATTATAGGATTATATTTTGATACAGCCGATCATGATGATTATGACAGATCCTATAGTAAAATTATAATAAGTAGCATGAATAGAATTTGCAATAAAAAAATATTCGATTAAAAAAATCATTTTTGGGGGGTAAAAGCAAATCAATATCTATATACAGTATTTGGTACAGAAATGAAGAGTAGATTTGGTGAATTGCATTGGAGCTTCCTGTGATAGGCAGAGTGCACCATGACGATAATTAATAACATACATTTGGACAATCCAGGATGGGTTCATAGTATATTCATTCAGCATGTGTTTCTTTTACCCCGACACTTTATTATACGTGTTTCTTTTTTTTAAATACTTTTAATACAACCGCTGGATTTACACGACTTTAAATTCTATTCACAAATATAGAAATTAAAATAAATATTTTCTCATATTTAAAGTTTTTGAATGGTGAGATGTCATTATAAATGCATACCTCGATATAATATCTGGTCCCTGAACTTTTTTGTAAAATTTGTTTAATTACATCTTTAAACTAACAAAATTATAGTTAGATCTTTCACTTTTTATATTTTTTTAAAGAATTTTTTAACCGTTTATGAAATTTTAATAAATATTTTTAATATATATATACTAAAATATTTTGTGAAATTTTATATACCGTAATTTTTTATTCTTTTATTTTTATAGACTAAATCACAAAAGTATATAAAGTTGAAAGATCTATTTACAATTTTTTGTTTAAAAATCTAATTGAAAGTTTTTAAAAAATTAAAAAATCGAATAATATATTAAACTAAAATATATTTATGAATCTAATCATATGTTTAAACTAAAGTATTTACACATGTTTAAATAACATTATGACCGTATAATGTTTTATAAATACTTAGTTGACTATAGAGCATATTTACTTTCTATCTAATTTCGCTTTAAATGGTATAATAAATCAAAACAAACAATCAACATATACAAACGAAGTTATATTTTTTTAGTAGTTGCATATGTCATTCTTTTAATTGTGTCACGTATAAAAAAATTTAACGTGGTTAATTTCAATTGGAAAAAAAAAATCACACGACTGATTTTTAAAACATACCAAATTACACCTTTTAATAATAATAAAGGAACCCAAATAAACCAATTGAACTAAAACATTAGGGACCGAAAGTGACTGATCTAAAAACAATTGTTAAGTGAGAATAATAAAATATTTTATAATTTTTTTATTAAAAATATTATAATTTTTTTTAAAAAAATATATTTTTGTGACAAAAAATTTAATATATCTATGTTTTATAAATTAAAATTTTTTCATAAATAGAGTAATAATTTCTCATTTTTTTTTATATCTGATATTATATTTAAGTGTGATGTTGCAATTTTTAGTGACTTATTTAATTTTAGAGAAATAAAATGATATAAATTATTAAGATAAAGATAATATAATTACTATTTTTTTTGTATCTATTCTAAATTTTTTCGGTCATTTAAAACAAAAATATTTTATGCCTATTTTTTTTATAAGAGTATATTTATTTTTTAAAAATATGTTTAAGTAAAAAAAATTAAAAAAATTTATATAACAATTACTCTCATTCCTTTTAATTTGGATCCTCTTCTACCAACACATATACAAAATTAAAAGGGTTAAAAACTAAAATAAAAATTAAAAAATAATTTATATTTATAAACTAAATTATGACATCTTTAATGAATAAAGAAGTAATCAATCTTTCAGTCAAAAAATAAAATATATTATAATAATAATAAAAAATTAAAACAATTTTATCATAAAATGAAAGAAATGACACGATAGAATAAAATATAAATGAAATATTAATATATTTAAACATATTAAATATAAAAATAACTATTACAAAAAATATTACATATAATCACATACAAAAAATGTCATTATAGTTTATATTTACATCTTTTTAATAATATATTAATATTCGAAACCTACCCCTCTAATCTTAAGTCACTGCTGCAAATTTTATTCCATAATATGTTAAATTTACTTCTAGAATTTCAATTCCAAAAGAGAGCTAAAAATTATTTATGGAATTAAAAATTTAGAGTAAAAACTACATAATTATCTTGTTTAAATAGGGGTTATGGAAGAAACAAACACATTGTTTTTTTATTTAAAAGAACACACATTGAACTTGTTTAAATCGGGATAATTTTAGAATAATAATTAAAAATAAATAAAGGGCAGTCCTATTTTGGTAGAAAAAGGTGATACAAAAAGTAACCACCGTTAGGTTATACTTATAAACAAAAGTCTCTACGCCCAAAAAACTAAAATCTGAAACTCATAGTTCCATATTTATATTGCAAGAAAACCATGACCCTTTAAACAAAAATAAACAAAGAAATAGACAAAAAGTGAAATCTCGTTTCATGAAAAATCCCGAGAACTCACCAAATTACAATAATTAGTTACAAACAAAGAAATCGAATACGTGAGAAAGAGAATGATTATATCCTAAAACAGAGATAAGTGAGAAAGAGAATGATTATAACCTAAAACAGAGATAAGTTCCCTTGATCAAGTATCCCAATCAATGTACCTTAACATATATTAGGAGGAGAAGAAAACTAACCTTTATATTTGGATTCTACTCTTTCAGATGTTTTCCAGTGCCTATACCGAAAACAAATGCATCAATTTTCCCATTTGAGCCTTTTCATATCTTTTGACCAGATAATGTTTCAATTATTGTAGAAAAGGTTAGGAAACGAAAGGAAAAACAGGAAAAAAACACTTGAATGGGAATGCGTATGTGTGTGCGAAGAAAAGATTAGGAATTTAGGGTTGGAAGAGGGAAGGTCTGAAGAGGGTTGGTTAAGAGGGAAGGAAAATAATTAGCGGGAAATAAAAAAAAGGAATGAAATTTTAATCTAAACATATTAAATTAAAATAAAATAATTAAAAAGAATGTTATCCGGAGTTTCTAAAAGAACACTAGGCACTTTCTTGGGGTTTAAAATCAAACTTCTATAATTTAACTAAGGTTATTAAAACCTCCACTAACTGTACACATTCCTAGGGGTTATAATAACTTCAATTAAATAACTTCCGTTAAATACAATAATTTTTGTAGTGATTGTATATTTAATATATGTAAAAATAATTTTTAATAATAAATATCATATTTTTATAAAATGTGTATTATTACTTAACAATTTTTTTATAATAAATTAAAATATAATTTATATATATATATATATAAATAAATATAAAAGTGTAAAATTTTAGTGAGCAACTGCCGCCACTATCATATGAATTTATCCGTCCCTCGACTGAAGAGTAATTTGCCTGATGAAAATACGCAACATGTTTCTGATTATTTGAAATTGGTTTTATTTAATCTTATCTAATTGGTGAGTGAGCCATTTATTACTTGGAACTATTTTGATTTTTGAGCCACACGGAGTTCGGTTGTGGTTTCTGCCATTATAGACAGAGGTGAACGAAACTACGAAAGTGTTTGTTCAATGCATGCAACCAGAAACATGGCCCAAAAATATAGTCCTTGGATCTTCTTTCTTCATCTACTAATAATCATGGTACATCCATTTGGAACTTTGTTTCATTTCACTGTTAAATTCTTTAATCAACGAGTGTATGTTACTAAGATCTGTAAAGATTATCATTTTCTTTTAATTTTCTTTCATTTCGCTGTGCGAAAAAGTTTAAATAGTATGATCAGATTTTAGATTCGAACTTTATTGCTATTATTGACAAATTGTTTGCTAAAATTTTGTAGTGTTCCAGTAGAATCAGAGCCAGGGAATTGGTTGGAAGTGGAACTGACATTAACAAATTCTTGGAAGCGAAAGCAACCTCGGATGAAGATCATCAAACAACACACACAGAACATAAACATGGTCACTCCCACATGCACATGGACCCTTCTGTGATGGTGTTCTTCACCCTGAAAGATTTGAAGGTTGGAAAAACAATGCCAGTTTGTTTCCCCAAGAGGGACCCTTCAACCTCCCCCAAGTTGTGGCCAAGGGAAGAAGCTGAGCCACTCCCTTTCTCACTCGACCAACTCCCAAACCTTCTCAAATTCTTCTCTCTCACTCCACACTCCCCACAAGCCAAAGCCATGCAAGACACCCTTAGTGAATGTGAGAGCAAACCCATCAAAGGAGAGGTCAAGTTCTGTGCCACCTCTTTGGAGTCCATGCTTGACTTCACTCAAACCATCCTTGGCTCAAAATCTGGTCTCAATGTTTTTGCCACCTCTCACCTAACCAAATCAAGTATCACTTTCCAAAACTACACTATCTTAGAAAACATCATGGAAATCATTGCTCCCAAGATGGTGGCGTGCCACACCATGCCTTATCCTTATGCTGTTTTTTACTGCCACAGTCAAGAAAGTGAGAACAAGATATATAGGGTCTCACTTGCTGGTGAAAACGGGGACAGGCTGGATGCTATGGCTGTTTGTCACATGGACACGTCACAATGGGGGCGTGGCCATGTTTCCTTCCAAGTTCTCAAGATTCAACCTGGAACCTCCTCTGTGTGCCACTTTTTTCCAGCAGATAACCTCATCTTTGTTCCCAAACTCCAATCTCATGATTCTGCAACCATGTGATTTTAGTTTCAGAAATACTACTCAGACTTCCTCTATTTCCTCTCGCTTCAAAATCACAAATTTTGAAAATGCAAATCGGGGCATATTCATTGAAGATTTATAAAGTTTGTGATTTCTAATTATAAAAAAAAATTAAAAAAAGTGGTAATAAGTGAGTGTTTGTGAAAGTGTTTTACTCTTCTTTTAGATTCGGACTGAATCGTTACTCTTATCTTAAATGTGTATCTTAGGGTTGTTTGAACTTTGATGTTTGGGGTTTTCTTTGATTGCTAAAATAAGTGCTCTGTGTGGAGCTAAATAATGTAAAACTTGTTATTGGTGTTTGTATGATTGTTTGTTTCTTATTTTCTGCATGAACAAGAGGCACGTCTTGTAGGGGAAGAAAAAAGAATAAGGGCTTGTAGAATTAATTAAAATATCTGAGAACGTATCTTATGAGGGAAATCTAATCGTGATTATGGAGTAGTTTTTGGGACAACTTTTTTTGTCGTTTATATCATGACAAATAGTTTGTACCAAAAACAAACAATTAGTGCGATCGAGAGTTACACCAAGAAAGAACTACCTGTAAACTTAATTAAGGTGTATTGTTGTAAATATACAATAAAATACTTTAGTCATGAAATTCTTTCACATAATACAATAGACTTTTGGATCTTCCCCTTATACTTGTCCTAATAACATGCCATTCAGCTCCTGCATACATGAAGCTTTTATTATCTTCAACAAATGGATATTAACTCATTTCAAAAAGTACTTATATTTGATCTATTCGAGATGGAGAGGAATATTGTATCTAATGAATATAGATTCCTGATTAATTCGAAATGATCAAAGTTGGTGTATAGATTAAACTCTTGAGTATTAACTTTGAAATACTTATAGATGTAATATGAAATCTCACGAGGTTGGCCACAAGTCCATTGTTGCTTAGACATCCTAGAAAACGGGTGAACTCCTATAAAACGATACTTCAATATTAAAATCTTCAATAACAATTTTATTAATGTACAAATGCAATAAAAGCATAAACAATTTTTGTTGTTGAAAGAATTAAGAATGAACTGGATTTAGAGTGAAGGAACTATGGCCTCAAAAGAATAATAATACCCAATATCAGTATAAAGATATAAGTTTTATTGGAAGTGGACATGCAATATACCTAACCTTATATATTAAATATAATGCTCTTATATATTAACACAAACACACAAACGATTATTTTGTATATTAAATACAAACACCTAAATGATTATCTTGTGTAAAAATATTTTTTAAGAAATTATTTTAACTAGAACATTTTTAGAGATTTTTAATTAAACAAAAGTAATTATATTGTGTAAGAATATTTTTTAAGGACTTATTTATAACGACAATATTTTTAAAAATTTTTAGTTAACGAGAGAGTTCAAAGAATTCTCTTTACTTTTTTATTTATTTCAAATTTATTTTTAAAATAAATTATTAATAGATAAAAACAATATTATATTACAATATAAATTCTTTATAATAAATCTAAAATATTTATTTTATATATTAAACACAAACTGCTGTTTTGTGTGAGGGTATTTTAAGAGTTTCATTTTAACTAAAGTATTTTTTTAGAGACTTTTCTTTAATGACAAGTTTTTTTTAAGAATTCTTTTAATTTTAAATTTTTTAAATTTTTATTTATTATATATATAGAAATTATATTTTAATATTTTAAAATAAATTATCAATAATTAAAAAAATTATGTCACAATATAAATTATTTATCATAAATCTATAAAAAAAATGTTTAAAGTATTTATTTATGTACAATTTATTATAAATTCTAATTTTATATAATAAACATTTTGCTTGTGTAATACTAATTATACATAAACGTATCTTAAAGAAACTTTATACCTAAATATTGACTTCAGTCAACCCTGAACCTTATATGGTGAGATACATTCCGCCATATAGACTGGGCCATTAGCCCAATCTATAACAACATCCATTATTAAGTGCTACATATGTAAGACACTATAAATGTTTTAGTCGTGAAAAGTGCTACATATGTATGGCACCATAAATGTTTTAGTTGTGAAAAGTGTTACATGTGTAAGCATAGTCAGATCATGAATAGAATTTTTTTTTTTTTTTTAGGTTCGTTCTTGAAATATCCACCGCCGACAACAGTGATTAATCTCCTCGCTACGTTGGAGGCACCTCAAAAAGTGGGATAGCTGGTCCCAAGATTTAACGCGACCTGTATACACAAGGCAGGATTCGAACCCCTGACCTTTCTTTTGATACTACTGATTGGGCCTAAAACCTATATTATATAACTACTGTTATTTTCAATTAACATATCTTAGGTTTTTTTGTACAGCTGTCGGGGTAAATCCTATATTATATAATCATAAGGTGCGATGCATGAGTAGGATTTGCAATATAAACAAAATAATCAATTAAAATATTAAATATATCTCATTTAGGAACAAAAAGGATATATATATATATATATATATATATATATTATTTTATAAAATAGAATAGAAGATAAGACAACATTTGGTGAATCGTTGGATCAAAGTGGACCCTTTTGCATGGTAGAGCAAAGAGCATCATGACAATAATTAAGTAACACAAAGATAATAATCATAAGAAGACATGAAAGCATGATGATAAAGATAACGATGAATAGTAACAAAAAAAAATAACATTAATTAAGATCATGATGAATTCCATAGGATGACAACAAAGATGAAAATAAAACGATGATAGCTAGGAAACAATGTTTTTGCTTGTAAGCCTTCTTAATGCATCAAACACATGTACCCCAAAATTAATGTTTGTGTTTTATAATTAATGCAGGTATTTTTTTTTTTATGAAAAAGTTTAGATGAGATAGATTTTGAGATTTATCATAGTGCCTTAAGACTTTATCAACATTAATAAAGATACTTACAGACTATTTATAAATAATATCATAAATTAATATGAGTCTGTTTCTTATTGATTTAATTAATTTTTATAAGTAATGCAAATGTCTTTTTTTTAACTTTCCAAAATTTCTATATAAAGAAGTTCCTTAACAACTATATCCTTCCTCCTAAAATTAATTATTTGTGTTACTTTGCTTGTTATTGCACAGTTTATCTAATATTTCTAAGTTTTGACAATTGTCTTTCATAAAATTATTGATATAACCGAAATAAGACATATAAGTAAAGAAAATTATTATTTGACAAACTAATTATGTAACATTTAGTTTCTCCATAACTACATTCTTAAGACTTCACATCTCTATTTCTGTTTTTTAAAAGGGAGGGATGATATGTCTTTTCACCTCATTATTAATTCCTTCAAAAACACTGATTTTTTTTTTTTGAATGTCGTTTTGGAAAAAAAAATGTTAAAACATCTTTATTAGTGTAATTATAGAATTGTTTAATTTATTCTTGATGGATCTTATAATGTCAAGAAATTTTAAGAATTTCAACATTTTTTTTCTTCCATCAATGCATTTTTTTTTAATTTAAAATGTGTCTTACATCTCACAAATTTTTAAAACTCATTAAAAATTATAATTTATATTAGTAAAATTGAGGTATTTCGTGGTTATATGTATTTTGTGTTGAAAAATAGTGTCTTTATGAAAACAAAAGTGTCTCTATGAATTTTGTTTATAAATATGAAAAAAAGATTGCAGTTATTTATTATGAAAGATAAATAAAAAAATGAACCATCATATAATTAGTGAAATTTCGGTACTTAAAAAATAATTTAAATTTTTGAATAAAATAAGAAAAGACAAAACATTTCGTATTAAGTTATTTTTTTTAATATAATGTATAGATAAACAACTCTTTTTAAAACTGCAAAATGAATTGTTCTAATAAAAAAATGCTCTCGATATATATTGCGGGATGATATGCTTTCCACCTCATTATTACTTCTTTAAATATATACCGAAAACCTTTTGAATTTGTCACTTTGAAAACATGTTGGTAAGTTTAATAATGCATTCATGATGGAGTTTTTTAACTCATGTCGGTTGGTCCAGTAATGTCACACATGATTTAAAATTTTCAACAATTTTTCCTTGATAATACAATTCTTTAAAAAAAAATAATACGGATCTTTCATTGATTTTAACGCGTAATTACACTTAGAATTATTAAAATGGGTTATAATATGAATCAATTCAATTCATCACGAATTTGAATTAAGTTACGTTAAATTTTTTTTTTTAATATATTGTGGATAATTTAACCGATTTATTTAGAATCTGACTCATCTAAAATTGAATCCGTGATGAGTTAGGTGAGTCTAGTTGACTCATAAGTCCACTAAAAATATATATATATATAAAATGCTACAACTCTCTTATACAAAAAAAAGAATTAAAAATTCATAATTTATTTTAAAAAAAAATAAAAACTCATAATCTATTTATTCATTCAACCAAATGTCACATTGAGAGAGTTATATATTAGATCAAAGACTTATTTTTGTGAAAGAAAAAGAAAAGAATTTAAAAAAAAAAAGAAGAGATTGTGTGATTGAATACTAATTTTTTTTTCTAAAAATAAATTTGACTGGACAAATATTTAAAAAAATATGACTAAATATTAGAAAAAATATAATTTTTTTAAAATAAAATGAAACAAGTCGTTTAATTCATTAATTCTTGGTTGAATTAAACTCTTTTTTTGTTTTTTGTTAACTCACTAAGGCTTTGTTTGGATTTGAGGATGGAAAAGGGGGAGTGGAAAAGGAGAGATTTGAAGGGAAAGTGAGTAGAAAGTGAGGTTGTTTGGATTAAGGGAATGTGAGTGGAAAGTGTAGAGAAAGTTTGTGAAAGTTTGTGAATGAAATGATTGATATGATAGATAAAAATAAATTTTTTAATTGATAATTGTGAAAGATTACTATTTTGCCCTTAGGTTAAAAAAAGTTTATAATTATTATAATTAAAAGATAAATATATAAAATTTAACTAAAAAAATTATAAAAAATTAATTTAAAAATAAATTAATTTAAATATTTGGTTTAAATTTAATGATAGATAAAAAATAAAAATTTAAGAGATGAATATATAATTTACACTTTTACCCTTGGATTAAAAATGAGTATAATATTATTTATTGTAATTAATAATAATTACAATAAAATTATATTAATAGGGTTTATTTACTAAAAAAATAATAAATAATGATAAGAATAATAATAAATATTAGAAAAATAATAAGAATCATAATAAATAATAATGATACTAATTATAATAAATAATAATATTAATATTAATAAAAATAAAAACAATAATATTTATAATAATAAATAATAATAACAAAATATATTATGATAATTATATTTTGTAACATTATTTTATTAATGTTTATGAAAGTGTTATTATTATAATTTTATAAACATGTTTTACTTTATTTTTTTTATATTTCCACTTTTTGATGTTAATATTTAATATATAATACCTTAAATTAAATATAATTATTTAATATTAATATTTAATATATATATATAAATTAAATATTAATATTAAATAATTATATTTAATTTAAGGTATTATATATTAAATATTAATATTATATATATATATATATATACGTATTAAACATTAATAACAAATTAATGTGCCCAGAACGGCCCGTTCCGAAAGTGGAACGGCCCGTTCTAGGGTTATTAAGTACTCCGCAAAGGTCAAAAGTGGAACGGCCCGTTCCAAAAGTGGAACGGCCCGTTTTAAAAGTGGAACGTCCCGTTCTGCTTTCGCATTTTTCTCATAACATGCATTTTTGGAACGGGCCGTTCCGGGACCGTTCCGGGTTCCACTGGCAGCAAAAATACCCTGCATAATCGATTATGCTTGGCCACATAATCGATTATGGTCTTGCATAATCGATTATGCTTGGCCACATAATCGATTATGCTCCTTCGTATATGATCAAACGAAGACCTCCGTCCACAATCACTCACCACTAACACCCACCAGCCACCACCAGCCACCCAACGTCGAGAATCAACACCAGTCCGTGGAGAACGTAAACGTGAATCCGCTGCTGCATGGCACATGCATGGGAGGGGCATTTTCGGATTTTCACAAATCCTACGTGGCTTTCAGCTCCTTTCTTCCCTTTTGTGCGGGGAGAGCAACAGGGCTTCTCCTCGCTTTTCTTCTCCTTTCTTTCGTTCCAAATCACGGGAAACAAACACACACAATCTACGCTTTTCTTTGCTCGTGAACAGTATTTCTCCGAAAACAAACACTACCTAAGATTGACTTATTGATGAATCGGTGATGTGATGTGATGGATCAAGTGAGACCGGATGCTTACGGCAGTGTTCCACGTTTTTATGATTACAAGTTTGTGTTTGTATTGCATGACTTTTGAAAATAATAAATAATTATTTTTGTAAGAAACACACCATAACATTCTCTCTTTTTTTGCCTACGTGGTCCAGAAGGGGCAACAAAACGGGCCACAACAATGATAGATTGAGATCCAATAGCATCAAAACGGGCCACAACAAAAGTGGCCCAGGAAAGACATTGAGATCCAATGGGCTTCGAGAAACAGAAGCGTGGGTCTTTATGGGATCGAATAAAAGATTGGTATCTCTGTTTCCACCATGTTTCCAAGTCTCAATTTCAACAATGGTAGCTCAAGCTTTATCAGTGCCTGCGAGTGCTAGCTTCACTATCGCTTCTCGCGCGAGAAGTCCCTCTCGCCTTCTATTTTATCGCAGGTTCATTTTTCATATTACCCAATGCAACTTTCACTTTTCTCCAATTGTTTTTTCAGAACCTAAAATTTGAGTTTCCATTTTACCAGAAACTCGTGCTCGGTAGCTTCTTCTTTGCCAAGCCCATATGGCCATTCATCAGAAGTTGGTAACTTTCTAATTTAACTACTTTTTCACTGGCTTCAATTCGAAATTTGTTGACTTTTCTATGCGTGATAGTTTAACATCGTTTTGGGTGTATGTATCACTTTCTATTGGTTGTGTTAACCCTATATTCGAGTGTAATTGGTCTAGTTTTATGATAATAAGCTGTGTTGCGTAATTTAAAATATTTAATCGAGACTTCATTTTTGTTTTTTTTTACCACAATTCCACTAATTAGCACATAGTTAGACCTTATTGTAGTGACCAAGGTTTTCACTTGTAGCACAGGTTCCTTATGTTCATCCATAAATTAAAATTCCTTGCACTATCTGTGAATCTAAATTAAATCCTAATAACAAGTAAGCGGTTTATGGTTTAATTATCCTTTTGGTCCCTATAGTTGCATATAGTTAAAGGCTTTTCGCTTTAGTTTTTATACGTGCCATTTTAGTACCTTTTTAGTTCCTGTCAGCTGTCGCCTATTTTTATAGGGACTAAAAGGAAAAATTTATGCAACTATAAAGACTAAAAGGAACAAAAAATCACATGTATAGGATTAAAAGGGAATGTTTTTAATTATAGGAACTAGAAGGTAAAATTCATGAAATTATAGGAGCAAAAAAAGTAATTAAACTACAGTTTTTTGTTTGCCTATTACTTTAAGGTTATGAGTTATGAACTCGAACTACTTTGCATTTGTACAATAAAGCATGTATCATATGCATATTTTGTTTTATCTGCAGGGTTATCAAGTAAAAGCCGTGGCCTTCCTCTAAAACTGGATGAGAAAAATATCTATGATGCCAGTACAAGGTAAATGTTCACCTCCTTCTTCAAGTGCTCCGTGTATTATGTGGTTGTTTTGTAGGGTGCTTATGGATGTCTATTTTTGACCATTTGCATTGTTCAGGGCCTGATTTGTCTGTTGTTCTTTACTGGATTTTGAGAAGTGTATCTGTATATAGGTGAATTAGGTTGTAAAGGAGTGCATCGTGAAATATTACTATTGCATTCAGCTGATAAACAGTGGCATGGCTATAGGCACCATGACCTATCTATACAGTTAATCTCTTCAAGTTTTGCTGTAGCTAAACCACAGATTTTTTTTTTCTGATTAGTTTTTTTTAGGTACTTTTTCATGTTGAACTCAAAATTATTCCCTCACAGACATGAATTTAGTGCTCTGTCTGCATTTTTTTTAACCATTGGTGAATGGATAAACAACTTATTGATGTTCCAGTTTACTTGTAGTTATGGTGCAATTGAAGCCAAGAAGGGGAATCCAGCAATAACACCAGCAGTGATGACTCCTGGAGGACCTCTTGATCTCTCATCTGTTTTGTTTAGGAATCGAATAATATTCATAGGACAGCCAGTCAATTCACAAGTGGCTCAGAGAGTTATATCACAGCTTGTGACTCTTGCTACTATTGATGAAAATGCAGATATACTGGTTTGTTTTTTCTTGACATTGTTACGTTACTTTCATTCAGTCATGTAATGAGATTTATATTGAGCTTCTTGTGTTGGCAGATATATATAAATTGCCCTGGTGGAAGCACATATTCAGTGTTAGCAGTTTATGATTGTATGTCTTGGGTAAGATCAAGGTTTTGTCACCCCTTCCAATACACAGACGCTCACTTTGATTCCATTTACGTTTCCTTCTTTTATAGTTTAATTCCCTATTTGTTGCCAATGTTTCTACCCTGAAAGAATTTGGTGATTCCATTTTTCAGATAAAGCCCAAGGTTGGTACCGTGTGTTTTGGAGTTGCTGCAAGCCAAGGAGCACTTCTCCTTGCTGGTGGGGAGAAGGGAATGCGCTATGCAATGCCAAATGCCCGCATAATGATACATCAACCACAGAGTGGATGTGGGGTAAGAGTCAAACTTCTGAAATTTTATTACAGAATCTGAGAAGTCGTGAAATGGGAAAAATATCCTATACTGTTTTAACGTAGGAAGAGGATAATAATAATAATAATATTAAGTTATGACAAATTTGGTCTTTGCACCATCTAGTATATGAGCAAAGTGGTATGAAACACATCATGTTCCTCCTCCTCTTTACTGCTGTGTTTGGTGGAAGAGAAGGAGAGCAGAATAGAGGAGAAATGCAATGAAGTTATTGTAGATAGGCTGTTTGGTTTGCAAGTTGTGTGGAAGTGTAAAGAAATTGAAGAAGTGTGATATATATATATATATATATATATTCCTTTTTTTTATCTGTCGCTATTAAATAAATTTAAAATCTGAACTTCTGCTCTATTTCCTCTTTATTTCTCTTCACTTCTTTTCAACACACTTTCTTTTTACCAAACACACTGTAGAAGTTACAAACCTTTATAAAACTGGAGGAAATGAATATCCAGACTTGAGATTGGAGCTGATGCTCTATTTATTCTCTTAAGTAGCCCTTTGATATTATATGGCAAATGGCAATGAATTGCCTAAACTCTAAAGTTAGATTTCTTTCAACATAAATGTTATGATTGAAGTCATCTTCCAAGCTAATTGTTGAATGTTTATGCATCGATGGATTAACTAATGAAATAAAGTTACTCTTTATTTTCACACAGTACTACAAAAAAAAATAATAGATAGGTAACAAGATCTATTTTTGGGCAATATGTGGATTTCTTTGGTCGATACACAATAGACATTGTGATTCTGATCGTTCTTAACCTCATTATAGGGTCACGTGGAGGATGTCAGACGCCAAGTGAACGAAGCTGTTCAATCTCGCCATGTTAGTATTTCTTCCTTTGAGTTGCACAATTCTAATGTTTGCTGGCCAACTTTAATGCTCCTATGAACTTGTTCATGCAGAAAATAATTTTTTTGTAATTTTTTATTTTTATGGTAACTCGTAACTTTGGCACTTGTATTTGTGACAATCGTAGAACTGATAGAAGGGCAATAAGGTGGTTTGATTTTCTCAATTCATTATTGTCTGCTGTCTCTTGGAATGACTGTTGCTGGAAAAGTGTATATCTTATACTAAGCCTCTTGGAGTTACAATTTGCAATGTGTGTGAAACTAAAAAGTTCAACTTACATATTTTCTTCACAACATGCACCAGTTTCCGTGGCTTTTTTCTACTCATAATTTATTGGACAGTTCTTGGAATGCCATGCCTAAGTCCCTCCTCATTCCTTCTATTGGAATACAGAAAATTGACAAGATGTATAGTGCTTTTACTGGACAACCATTGGAAAAGGTGCAACAGTACACTGAGAGGGACCGTTTTCTGTCTGTTTCTGAGGTAACGAGAGCTGTTTAACTTCCATAGCAGTGAAATAAGTTTATTTAATTTTGGAAAAGTTCTCACCGAATTCACAATTGACGTATTTCCAATAGGAAATTAAGTTTAGGAAAAGAAGTTTAAGTTGATGGACAGGAGTAAATGTCTCAATTTAACTTGGATATTTTGTTATTTTTTACCAGTAATTCACTTAACTAGTCTATAGAATTAATGCATGTTAAAACGTGAAAACACCATTGTTGCTTCTAATCTAAATAGTAATTTGTTTATTTTCTGCGAGGAGATTGTTTAGGTGTGGTAGTTTCAGTGCAGGCTGTTATTATGTTTTTGTCTTACTTTCTAAAAGTGTTTGATCTAAGTGGATAGTTTATGTTATTGCCTTTTCTCTGTGCAGGCTTTGGAGTTTGGTCTTATTGATGGTGTCCTGGAAACAGAGTATTGAATACAGGATTGCAGGATATATTTTAAAGAGATTGAAAATGTTAATTCTTGTCAAATTGATGTAGAATTTCATTAATTAATGAGAATTGTATGTTCTTCTTCCTCAAACTTATGCTATTATTGAAAGTTGACTTTCATAGAATGGTTTGATCTAGCATTTATAATTGTGAAGTTCGAGGTAGCTAATCCTTGTTTGGATTTGAGAACCTAGGTATGCACCCCAAACTTGTACTTTGATTCACACGTTTTAGTAAGTGTTCTCTGTCAAAATCAGGTTGAGGTTGGATGTTTATTGCAGGTTCAAATTTAATTTTTACGTTTATACAATGATAAATAATTAGTATTTTGGTGACTTTGATTCATACTTTTAATCTTGTGTATAGGTTGTTAACAAAATAGTTTTCTTTTAAGAAGATTTAGTAGAAAGTGTTAAAAACCAATAACGTTTTTAGAAGTCGTTTCAAGTGTTGTGACCATGAGAGATCGAAAAGGCAAATAAAAGGAGTGGGGAGAGTATTTTTGGTATATGGATGGTTGAAAGTTGCTCATGTTTAGGGGTGCAAGTAGGTATAGGTAATTCACCAATCTAAACTGATTTAAATTGACCTAATGAGTTCGAATTAGATTTTTTCAATGTTAAAGTTAGATTCAATTTAATTTAACTTGATAAAAATTTGAGTTGTGTTTGTAACTTGTTATCCAACTTGACCTGGTCATATATAATAATAATCATAAATAATGTTTAATTATTATTTATTTAGAATAATATTTATTTTTACTCTTTTTTAATTACGAATCTTGTATTTTAAGTTGATAATATTGTAATAATATAATATATTAATTTTAAATTTTATTTTGTATTAATAAATATTGATTTTTTGAATTGATAATAATGTAACAAATTAATAAATTTTTTAAGTTGTATTATTGTCTGCTTTATAGGTTGATAATATTATATTTATAGTAATGTATTAAATAATTTATATCTTTGTTTGAAATATTTAAATTTTTATAATAAATAAATAAATTTAATTATGTTAATTTGATTAATCTAATTCAACCCATTTAGATTGAGTTTAAAAAAAATATACAAACACGACTTAATCCAATTAAATTTTAATTGAGGATTACATCTTTGCTCATGTTCACCTCAATTAACCGATTATAATAGTTGAGATCAATTTTAAAATAAGAGTTAATTTCATGTATGCTTCTTATATTAATTGGGCGATTTTGATATTAACGAATGGAATTAAAGAGGTGTTGGCGATGAGGTTTGGATCTCCTCCATTGAAGTCCAATACCAACATTACTGAGCCTTGGCATGATTGGATTTTTCAAAATCCAAACCATGTCCATTTAAATGGATTGCATTCAAAATCAATATCCATATTAAAAAAACAAAACAAAACAAAACAAATGGGTTTGGACGTTTTGAACCAGCTTTAAAACTGATTTCAAACCAGTTTTATTATTGAAAGCCAATTTAGTTTAAAAGTTAGTTTTTGAATAGATTGATTTTGAAGCATAAGTTTATTTTAAAATTTAAAACTGATTTTAACCTGTAAATCAATTTTAAAACAAAATCTGACTTTAAAACTAATTTTAAACCATAATCATTTTAAAATTCAATGTAAACCATAATATGTTTTGGAGTACAAAACTAATTTTAAATAGGGGCGGGGTGGGTAAGGTTTGAATTTAAAATCCATATCTATAATCTTTTAAAAAAAAGTTGAATTTTTTAAAAACAGATTATGGTTCAAAAATGTTTTTAAAACAGATTTAACTTCAACATTGGTTTTATACCATAAACCGGTATTAAAAATAGTTTTAAATCATAAATTGACAATGCATAAAAAAAAATGGATTTTGAGTTTTTTGACGATTTCTAATTCTTATTCTTATTTTTAATAATAACTAATAATTCAAACTTAATACGCTCTCTTTTATCTCCTCTTTAACAAAATATATTTATCTAAAAATACCCCTTTTCTCCTTTATTTTATTTTTCAAGATAATAATTTTAAAATATTAAAGTTCAATATAAAAATAACGATAAACACATTACAGTGACTATAAACATTTTACAAAACAATACTCAACTGAATAATTTGTCTAGTGTCTACTGTTTTCTATTAACTAGACTTTGAGAGGGCAAAAACTATAAGATAATGCTATACCTGTAAGCATGATAAGGAATTTAAACATTTTTGAACTTAGATAGTGACTATAATATTAGATTTTGATGCTCCAATAATTTATTTGTAGTGGCAAACTGCAGCAAGTTATTGACAACAGCAACATCAACCATTCTATATGCTTATATTTATATTTTACTTCCTGCATATTGCAAAACGACAATTTTTATTTTATTTTGTCTTCGATAAATAACAAACCATTATTTTTAAGGTAGTCTTTAATATCAAAAGCATGACTCTTTTTATTAATATTTTCTCTCTTGTTTTTTTCATACATGAATATTGAGGTTGAACTAATTAATACAACATGTTCAATAGATTTAAACTCTTTTCATTCTAATTAATATACATCGACAATTTTTTTTTCTTCAATTTTAACAAGGATTATTTTAATTGAATCATTTTTCATACAAAATTAAAAAAATTATGTGATTGAAACAACACTATCTTAAATATAGACTTTTTGGGATAATGTAAATATGAGAGGAGAAATCCACTTTTTTTAAGAGTAAGTCTACCTGTATTTATTTTACTTAATGATTAGTGCTTTACATCAAATCTTAACAATTCAATTGTTAAAATAAAAATTCTTAATACATAGATTAAATATTTGATATTTCATTTCATTAATTTAATTTGACGAATAATCATAAAAGTATTTGATAACGAAGTATCAAATAGTTTTCAAGTTTTTAAAAAAATTACAGACTTGATTTATACATTAAGAACTTTTAATTCAATAATTTAATCGTTAAAAAAATAATATAAAACATGAGTATTGAATGGAATAAGTAAATATCTCTTATATATATACATCCTATTATCTTTTTTATAAGGTATTTTTAATCAAATCATACATACTGATATAATTAGTTATATTAGTTGATTTTATTGGGTTTATAAATTAAAATCATAATATATCAGTTTTATCTTTCATACGTATTACTATCTCTTTTCTTATTTATAAGACCTAACATAGAATAATTATTTATACATTTATATAAGAGTCAATTCATATTGTCTCATATATTAATTATTTTTAAACTAAAATACTCATAATTAATACATTAATTATAAACTCTTTAAAGAGAAAATGCTTTAATTGATTAGGAGAAAAGTGAATATTGATTAAGAGAGATAAATAATATAAGACATATACTTTAATTAGTTAATATTGATTAGAAAAAGATATTCTAACAAGGGTAGTTTTGAGAAAATAAAATAAAATATGACAAATTTATTATTATAAACTAAATTAATTATTATTTTTAATCTGATTGAATTAATTAATTAGGTCTCATAAATAGGAATGAAGATGATATTAATTTATGATATGTGAATATATTACTTCATGTCAAAGTCTATAAATAAATATCAATAAAATTGATAAATAATAATTAGAGAGTTTAACAGAAAGAAAATATTTATTTATCAAATTATTTTCTCATTATTCAACTAGAAAAGATACATATTTTTACAATTTTTAATAGGAACAAATGATGAAAAGTAAAATTAATATTTTATAAAATTTGTAAAGTGTATTTTAAAAAAGATCACCAATAACAAATGCATACAGTACTTATTAAGCTAACTATGACCAATATTATTTTATTTTGAAAAATGAGTTAACATCCTTTTGAACACATTTTCTTGAAAGAATTTTACTCTAAAACGTAAAATTTGGTGAATTGTAAATCATATTTAATAATTTTCTTCTAATTTTATAATATTAAATAAATTTTAATCAATAAAAAAAGGGGCATTAAAGAGTATTACTTGTGTAGTTGTCTCTTTTGGGTTTCTAGCCTCTTTCTCATTAAAAAAAAAAAGAGAAAAGAAAAAGGGTGTATTCCTAATTATCTCATTATGACCTCAAGTAATGAAGAACTAAGTAGATAAGAATAGCTTAAGCATTAGTATAAGCATTATTTGCAGCAGTAATTTTTTTTAATTATTTTAGCTGACAGCCCCAATGACGTGACGAGTTTCTTGAGGCGTAAGTCTCGGAAGCAAGTCAATGCTACGGATCCCAACCCTATGCATTTCTATTCTACGTCTAAACGTTTAACTTAACAAGTGTAAAATAAATTAACTTAAGTACGGTATTATATATAATCATAATTAAAATTTCATTTCAATAATATTCAATAAAGAAACAGATCTATGTTAAATATAAATGTACATTAACACGATGAAACTTTAATATTAACAAAAAGTATCATAAATAATAAATATGATGCTATATCTAAATTTTGTTGGAAATCAAAATTCATTCTACCACACAAATACTAATTTCTATATGCTAGTATAAAAGTATGAAGTTAATTAAGTGGAGAGAAAGGAAATACAGATGATAAAAATTTACGTAGCGTTTAGTATAACCAAAATACAGAGAGAAATTTAAGAATATTTAGTACTATATACATATATTTGTGTATGTGTGTGATTTTTTTATATTTATAATCTAACGCGCACATTATTTAGTTTAAGAAAATATTTTTTATTTTCATTTTCATTTCAATTTCAATTTTTAAAAATAATTTTCATTTTCAAATTTATAAAATTTAAATTATGTTTGTCTTGAAAAATAATTTTTGTTTAAGGAAAAATAAAAATATCTTAATTATAATAACAATAACGATGATAATAAAAATAATTATAATATGATAATAATGATAATAATAATTAGTAATAATAATAATGATAATAATAATAATTAAATAATATAACTGATTTGGTTACTTTTAATATTATTAGTTTGCGTACATACCAAAGAATTGCAATTTTGTAAGACTCCATTATTTACTGCCTTTTCTTGTCTTTTAAGCAATTACGTACGTTATATTAATATTTATAAGTTGGAATTTGAAAGTATTTGCGTGGTGGATGGGGTATTATTATTCTATCTTTTTGGTGTTCGTAATATTATTCTCTAACGACATATTAAATGGATAAACCTCTCCCCCCTAGTGCCTATAAAAAGCTTACTTACTTCTCAATCCATAACCAACACACTACAAAGATGCCTCCTAATCACTTTCTTTCCCTTTTCCTTCTGTTCCTCTTGGTAAAATATTCAATTATGCATGCTCTTATTTTGAAACCAAATCAAATTTGGTTCAATTTTTTTATCTCATTGTACAAATATACCAATTACTTTAGCATTCTATTTTTAACGTTCGCTAATTTATGAAATTCATTTTAGTACATACTTTATCTTAAGTATAATATATTTATGTAGTTTTTTTTATTTTATTTTTACTTTCTTAACTAGGAACAACTACCATATTAATATTGTGAATAGTATCTTACAAATAATGTACATGGTATTTAGAAAAAGAATACAACTTTTTAACCAACTCATTCCATATTTAGCCTTGGTTACTTGAGGTCTCACACAGTTTCATGAACTTAATGTCTCTCTTCCTCCTATGTGTGTAACACGTAAGATTTTTTCCCAGTTGCACCATGTATGCATCATTAGTAGACTAAAATTGAGTAAAAATATGAGAATTTAAGAGTTTTAGGTAAAAGAAAACGTTGAGGAGACTAAAGTTGCATAGTTTTTTAAATAAAAGAAGTTATTTGACTTGAAAGAAAAAAAAAATCGAGAGATCAAAATTAAATATAATTTGAATTAAGAAGAAAAATTGTATTTAAATATTTATTTACACCTTATAAAGTATCAATCCACCCAACCCAAATAGAGAAGAAAAAGAATAGGAAAACACTCCTTTTCAATAAATATAAGAAAATGTTACATAAAATATGAGTTCATGACATATTAAAGTTGACTTGGTAGTAAAAAATTAAAATAGCATACATAAAATTTTATAGGCTTAAACTTTAATATTATTTTTATAATTCTTGTAAATAAAAAAATCCGTTCATCTCTTTTAGCCATACTTGTAGTGTGTAATAATATTTTTTTTATGTAAAAAAAATAATCTATATACATTTAAAATCCACTTGAAAAATTGTAAATATATATTATTTTTATTTATCATCTCATTTTCACATCAATTTCGCCATTTTCTTTTAATTCTTTTTCTATCCTATCTACACATGCATCAATTATCACTATATTGTTATTTTTTTTTCTTTGCTCTCCAATCCATTGTTAACTTTGTTAGTTACGGTTGATACACATTACTTTCTCTCTCTCTCTTTTATTTATTTATTTATTATTATTATTATTATAAATACATAATCTTATACAAGTATCAAAAAAGAATTCTGATACATAATTTCATATTTGAATTTATATTTCCAAATTTGTTTTTCAAATATTTAAACTCTAACTTCTCCCTAGTAACCGTATCTATACCACTTTGGTTATATATACCTCTTGTATCAGTATTGCATATTTGAATAAAAAATTAATGTTTTTCTTTCCTTATATCCATAACCTTTAGTGGAAGTGATGTACTCTGGGTGCATTTGTCTCTTTTTTCATTAAAATCTTTGTAATGAAAACCTCAACATATACATGTACATATTAATTTCAAAAGTTTCCACTCATTTCCTTGTCTTTGACTTGACTTGGATCAATTGTAGAATGGCCACATCATTGGAGCAAGAGATTTAAAGTTCGAACAACGAGATCAGAAACAAGTGGAATGGCACAAAGCTACATCAGTGTCCAACGACGAGTCTTACGGTCAAGGGTATATAACGTTAACTCCAGAATCCACTGAACCTAATTATATAGCTTCATACACTGCTAAGAAACACAACCATCACCATGAAAAGCTCCACCAGCCTTACACAACCTACGATTCCAATGCACCTTACATAGCTGGGTACACTACTAGTTCCCATGTGACCCATAATCATCCCAATTACATTGCAGGGTATAGGACTAAAACCCATGATTCAAATGCACCTTACATAGCTGAGTACTCCCATGTGACCCATAATCAACCCAATTACATTTCAGGGTATAGGACTAAAACCCATGATTCAAATGCACCTTACATAGCTGAGTACTCCCATGTGACCCATAATCAACCCAATTACATTTCAGGGTATAGGACTAAAACCCATGATTCAAATGCACCTTACATAGCTGGGTACTCAACAACTAGTAGCCCTGTCACCAAAAATGACCCAAATTACATTTCTGCTTATAAGACTAAAACCTCACATCAAGCTTACATTACTGCCTATGGTTCCAAGAAAGCTCCAAATGAGTCATCCAATGATGATATCACTGAACCTTACCTAACCCAATATGGTGATTCTAGTCCCAAAGATGAGCCAAATTACATTGCTAGCTACAAGGCTCAAACCTCTGCTTCCGTTGCCCCTTATGTTGGGCACACACATCAAGCTTACATTACTTCTCACGATGATACCACTGAACCTTACATAACCCAATATGGTAGAACTGGTCCTCCCAAAATAGCCCCAAAAGAGTCTTCCAAAGAGGACCACACAGAGGCTTTCAAAACAGGTTTTTTGGGCATAGATGATCTTCATGTTGGGAATGTGATGACCCTCCAATTTCCCATCCAAGAGATTCCAAACTACCTTCCAAGGAAAGAGGCTGATTCCATTCCATTCTCAACCTCACAACTCCCGAGTGTCCTTCAACTCTTCTCAATCCCCGAAGATTCTCCCGAGGCTAATGCCATGAGCGGCACACTTGATCAGTGTGAAGCAGAACCCATCAATGGGGAGACCAAGACTTGTGCTACTTCTCTAGAGTCCATGCTTGAGTTCGTTGGTACAATCCTCGGATCAGAGGTTAAGTACAACATTCTCACAACTAGCTACCCCAAAACCCCAAGTGACTCTCTACAAAAGTACACCATTTTAGAAATATCCGAAGATATCAATGCTCCTAAATGGGTGGCATGTCACCCCCAACCTTACCCCTATGCAGTTTACTATTGCCACTTTATATCAACAGGGACTAAGGTGTTCAAGGTCTCATTGGGTAGTGAGAATGGTAACAAAATTGAAGCTCTTGGAGTTTGCCATTTGGACACATCTGAATGGAGCCCAGATCACATTATATTCAAGCAACTTGGAATCAAGCCTGGGAAGGCTCCGGTGTGCCACTTCTTCCCTGTAACACATCTTATGTGGGTTCCTCAAACTTCACAAGCCACCAACTGAAGTAGCGAATTTCCTAAGTGTGTGTAATAAAGGTCAATCTCAGTGTAGTTTGATGACCATGTACCTTTTGTTGACTTTAACTTTATCTCTATGTTATTTTCCTTGTTTAATGTACAAATAATGTGTTAGGCGGAAAAACTTCAATGTTTATGTGCCTGGAAAGGGTTGCGAAACAGGAACGGAAACATGGACTTCTTAAAATGTTAAATTCATAATGAACATTTGAATTCCCATTTTCCTCCACAAATAAATAGTTAAAAATAGTCACAAAATAGTAAAAATTAAAATAATAATTTTAAATTTTAAAGAATAGAAAAACATAATTTTTCTAATAAAAATTAAAATTAAAACATGTTCATTTTTATAGAAATTACAAACATATTTAAGCCTTTTATTTATGATAATTAAACTCGATATCAGCCCCAAAAAGATTGATAACAAATCACAGACCTTACTCAACTAATTAAACTTGACTATTGATAGATGTGGTTGGTATATACACCAACGAGTCAATGACGTTGTTTTGGGATGTTAGTTCTTGAATTCTTTACGACTCCCCCACCTCCTAATTTTCTTCTACTTACCGATATGAGCCCAACTCCCCAGGACCTAAGCCCAATATCAAACTACAAAAATCATAGGCCAACTAGACACACACAAAGGCCAACATGGCTCCGGATTAAATTTAAAGTTCATTTGTTTTGTTTTTATTAATTATTTATTTTGTTTTTCAACCCTCCATGTGTAGGGTGTAGTTTATAGAACCGTTGGTTCCTTGATGCTTTTAAAATCCTATGGAACCGATGTCTCCTTTTATAGTAGATATTGTGTGTGTGTGTGAAGGGCTACTGAACAGCCCTGCTGTCCTATGATGGGGTCATTACTATATATGCATGAATGCCAGGCAGCAAGTTACCCTGTCACAGCAGACCTACCTAGCTTAGCTTTCCCAATCTTTTCAAAAGATTTCATCCAGAGAATACTGTGCACAATTCATGCATCACACTGTACCTCCTCCACAAATCAACAAAAATCGACCATTTCGGGCCATCACCAATACAATCGTATTGTACCTCCACCTTTCAACCAACCGAACATAATTATAATATATATATATATATACAACTGATGTTAATGTAACATGTATAGGGTTCCTTCTTATCTTCTTATTATTTTACCCTACTTGTCTTTCCTACTGTTTTCACATTCATGAGGGAATAGTACATTTTTATTTCAAGTTTTGCAATTCAGTGCCCGTGATAACTAACCGCTTCAACTATTATATTCATATTTTTAGGTCTTAATTTTCGACTTTAATTTTTAATTTTATAATTTTAGTCTTTTAATATAAATGAGTACAAACTCCTTCCACTCTTTC